CTTATTGGATCATTATCCAAAAGGAGTCCCTCTTCATTGTCTTTTGACAATAGGTATAGCCTTTCAGGCACCCTAGAAACCCTTTCGGATCTCCGAAGAGGTTGTGTTTCAGATGGTCCAGTCTCTACTGGTATGTTTTCCGTGGTACTTAGTGGAATTTGTGGTTGTTCTTCATTAAGTTCTATGACTCCGCTATTCTTTGAGATGAACTCTTCCTCTAAGAATACAGCATTCCTCGAAACAAACACCTTTTGTTCAGAGGGGTCATAGAAATAGTATCCAACAGACTCTCTAGGATACCCCACAAATTTACATAAGATGGATCTCATATCCAACTTACCTCCCACTAACTGCTTTACATAAGCAGTACAACCCCATACTCGTAAATACTTGTATGAGGGTGATTTACCACACCATATCTCATAAAGTGTGCTGGGTACAGCTTTACTTGGCACTCTATTCAAAATGTGTGCTGCTGTTTCTAAGGCATAACCCCAGAATGAAAGAGGTAGATCAGCTATTCAAAATGGGTACAACTTTTTTTTTTTTCTTTATTCCTATTTATCACATAAGTCACCGTTTAATATCCAGTTTTATGATACTTGTATATACCTGCCAACTGACCTTATAATTTAAGTTTATCCAATTAGAGATGGTGAATATAAATAAAAAACATGTAACCCAAGGACTTTTCAAACGATTTGTAATTTTTCTAATTTGTAGGGTATATTCGTTTGAAAATTTTCAAATCTTTTTAAAATCTTATAAATATATTTAATTTAAACTTTTTAAGATTATCTTAAAGTTTTTTATATATTCATTTAAGATTTTGAAGTTTTAAATTTTTTTGACTTATTTAACTTAGATCATCTTTAATGCTTTGGATCTAATTTTGCTTATGTGGCAATTAAATAGACTTAAGTCTTTGATGACATGAACATGTAACGCCCCACTTTGATTTAACGAAAATTCATGGCTTTTAAGAAAAATCCATTTAATTTTCCGAAATTCATTTCAAATGACTCGAGGCGACTCATGTAAATTCAACGTCAATCATTATGTCATAACATCAACTCCCAAATCGGGATTCATAAAATCATAAGTCATCACATTACCCAAAACGGGTTCTCAAAAGTCATCAATCCCTCAAACCGGGTTTTCAAATCATCACAGTGTCCACGGGGCATCTCCCCAACATTATTCCCCATAATCATAAAATCTCAGAGTTTCATAAAATCATAATATCATAAAAACAGTTCATAGATAGCGGAAGAAACAATTAAACAACCGGTCATAAAGACCGACCACCACTCGCTCCACTCTGCCGTCATTCCCGCCCTGCTCAACCTGAAATGTTAATTTCAGGTGGGACTGAGCACAATAGAATACCACCGGTCTGCTGTGTAGGCTGTAAGGTCAACTCGTCAAACACCTACATTTAGTCGAGAATACTTCATAAGTATCTTATCTTGACCCTTAGAATAACATCACGAGTAAACATACTTAGCCGAACATTTTCGACTAAGTTGTTCGCAAGTCAGATCGACTTTATCCTTGCAAGGAGGGAGGATAGGAGCGCTTGCGTAGATTGTAAGGTGATACCTGGGGAGTGTGTTGTACCCCAGCATAAGCTGGTGGTGGCGGATTTTCGATTCCGAACATACGTCCACCAGAACAAATGTGCCAAGACCGTGAGAACGAAGTGGTGAAAGCTTAAAGGGGAAGCGGCGCAGACGTTTAGGGATAGGATGCTAGGTGAGGGGCCTTGGGAAGAAGGAGAAGATGCAGAGGACATGTGGCTAAAGATGGCAACATGTGTACGGAAGGTGGCTGCAGAAGTCCTTGGTGTGAGTAGGGGAGGCAAGCAGGAAGCGAAGGACTCTTGGTGGTGGAATGACAAGGTGCAAAGGGCTATTCAGGAGAAGAAGGAGTGTTTCAAGCGCCTCCACCTTGACAAGAGTGCAACCAACATTGAGAGCTATAAAATAGCGAGAAGGGATGCAAAGCATGCCGTGAGTGTAGCGAAGGGTCAGGCCTATGATGACCTTTATCAGTGCCTAGGCACGAAGGAGTGGGAGAAGGACATTTATAGGATGGCTAAGATTCGGGAGAGGAAGACAAGGGACATCAAGCAAATCAAATGCATTAAGGATGGGTCGGATCGGCCACTGGTGAAGGATGGGGAGATCAAGGACAGATGGCGAGAGTACTTCGACAAATTGTTTAATGGAGAGAGTGAGGGTCCTACCCTGGAGTTGGATGACTCATTTGAGGATACCAATAGATGCGGGCTATGAAGAGGATGAAGGGAGGTAAAGCAATGGGCCCTGATGGTATCCCCATTGAGGTGTGGAGATGCTTGGGCGCCAGAGCGTTAGCATGGCTAACTAAACTTTTTAACCTCATTTTCCGGTCAAACAAGATGCCTGATGAATGGAGGAGAAGTACTTTAGTACCGATCTTCAAGAACAAGGGAGATGTTCAAAGCTGTGGTAACTACCGTGGGATTAAGTTGATGAGCCATACGATGAAGCTCTGGGAGAGGGTTATCGAGCATCGCCTACGACGAGTGACGAGTGTGACCCAAAACCAATTTGGGTTCATGCCTGGAAGGTCGACCATGGAGGCGATTTTCCTAATACGTCAGTTGACGGAGAGATATAGGGACCAAAAGAAGGACTTGCACATGGTCTTTATCGACCTAGAGAAGGCTTATGACAGAGTACCGAGAAATGTCATGTGGTGGGCCTTAGAAAAGCACAAAGTCCCATCTAAGTACATTACCCTCATCAAGGATATGTACAATGATGCGATGACGTGTGTCCGAACATGTGGGGGCGACACCAGCGACTTCCCAATTAAAATAGGACTACACCAGGGGTCAGCATTGAGCCCTTATCTATTTGCCTTGGTGATGGATGAGGTCACAAGGGACATACAAGGTGATATCCCTTGGTGT